GAAGCTAGTTACAATTAATTCAAACTGGTTTTTCTATAAGCTCTAAAAGATCCATCTATGAATCTATACAAGTGGGATAGATGCCTACTCCAACCATAGAGGAAACAACAAAATGCTCTTAATATGCCATGAAGGATGTCGCATTCCTTCAAAAGCTCTGCTACTTCTTTCCCTCCATAAACCACATCAAGCCATGCTCTCACTTTTGCCAAGACGACTAGCATAGGCAATGCCAGATAAACAAACACCCTTAAGAGTGTGGCATCACCTAGACAACCAAATATGCAAAGTATTAAGCAGAAGCAATATCCTAGTGAATATGCAGGTAATCTTTGTCCTCTAACCACCAATCTCTGTTTCCTCAAGTTGTCTGCAGAGAGTGAAGCTCCTCTGCCAGATATCCAGAAAAAAGAAGCTCAACAACTTTCTAAAACCATACTGATCCAAACAATTCTCTAGAGGAAATCCAAAGACACGCTCTTAATAAGAAGTTGATAGAAATACATAGCAGATAACCTTTTATTACTAAAGCCCGTCCATTTCATTTGTCCTCTCCACCACTCAAATTTAGCCATACAGCTTCTTGAGAAACTCCAGTGCATCCTGTAATTCCCAATCTTGAATTTCCCTCATAAACAACACACTCCTTTTGGCCACCTCATTGTTGACCTAAACAAAGTCAGCCATATAAGCCATTGTCAACTTAAATACTGGAAATTAAAAAATAGATAGAGGTCTTCCTTTAGTGCTGAGAACTGCCACAACCAACGTTCCCCACCAAGAGTAACTCTCCTATAAAACACATTTAGCTGTTCAAGATACCTCTCCAAAGCCCAACACCATAAGGGGTTGGGGCACTTTAGTTTTCCACCCACTCCTCTCCGATTCATATTTTGCAACATCATAGGCTACCAGAGTGAGTTCAGCTCACAACCAAAACTCCAAAACTACTTGCCCAATAAAGACATATTAAACACCAGAATGTCTGAGTCAAAGCAGATCTATTAAGGGCCTTCACTAATTTCCCATTGGCCAGATGAAATTTTCTCTAATTCCCCATTCCCTACCAAAAGAAAATATTTCTTAAATTGCTTATATCCTCATATGAACAGAGACTGGTCTACAAACAGAGATGTAATAGCAAGCTAGCAACAGTAATCTTCATAATAATCATTTTGCATCCCATTGAAGGCAACTTCTCTTGCATCCTGCTAATTTCCAGTCAACATTCTCAATCATAAGATTGCAGGACAATACTGAGTTGTAACTAGAGCTAAACGGTAAACGCAAGGATTGAAAATTTAAATGCCATGTGTACATAGAAACAAACAGAACGCTTAGTAAAATTCATTCAATAAATAATGCTTGGATCTGCAGACTTACCAAATATTTCAATGCCCAGTTGTTCATATAGTGGACTGAAGAAACCATCAACAAACTGAATAAACCACCAAGTCACGAAAAATGTGACAGCAACAGGAAATAGAACTACACTGCAATTTCAGGATTTAACACAATGTTACACCTAGAGCTGATGGGTAAAGAATAACGCAGATTCAGCTAAGATAACAGGCAAAAGAGAAGCTACTACCATCCAGTCATGAACTTCTTTGAGACCCAACTTTGAAGCACAAAACAGCAAGCCTGAACAAATGAAAATAAGAGAACATATCCCATAAAAGAAGGCAATAAAATTTACACATGCATATACACAAGTCAATAACGATTTCCACAGAAACATGTGATCAGTCAACATTCCACCAAATGAGATCAAATTCTAATCCTCCAGGAAAGGGATATCAGAGTGCCGATGCATGGCAATAGGTTCATATCATGTTTTTATTGTGGCAAAGACAAGCTTCTTAGTTACCTATTAGACATGCAGGTCAATTTCTTTTGAAGTTATAGCATCTCATTTCAAGATAGTAAGCTCCAGACAGAAATGACAGGAAAGAGTGTTTCTCACTTAAAGTGAGAGTGGACCCCACTAGAGAGTCAATTTGGCCAGATTGAGATTGAGAGAAATAGTTAATAGTAATCTTCATAGTGAAAAGCGAAATTCTGTTTTATTGTCTTCTATTTGTTTATTTTCAAAATCCGCCTATGCCAAGGTGCGAGTTTTTGCATTGACAGATGCCTACTCCACTGGCTAAAGAAAATGGTAGAAAATTGGCAAACAATACCTCCAGAATTACACAATGAGGAGAGAAGAAATTAGTTGCAAACTCATAAACTTGAGAGAGTATGACTACATTTACAAGATACAAAAGATGTTGGCTTCTATGGACGTAAGCAAATTGTTGAACCAAGTAAAGTTTGGTATCTATTTTTTGTGGATATTTGGACTCTTTTATTCACCATCTTTAGATCGACCTAGTTGTCATCATAATTACCATTTTGTTCACAACACTTGTGACCACAGACCAACCCCAATAAACAATATGTATCTTCACCACTAAAAAACAGCAATCTTAGAAGAGAAGCATACACATGCATGTTAAAGGTTTAAACGAGAAGCTTTTTAACATAGTGAGGGAGATACATAATGAAGAAAATTACCATCTGAATGTGGGACGTTCCAAATATACTCATTTATTAAGTTTCAGTCATGTTGAGAATTTCACGTATAAATAGGGCTAGCATTGTTGAATTATGAAGACAATGATTTTTGTGATATAAATATGTGAAAGTTATTTCCATGTTTCTCTCCCAAATTCTCCAATTCCTCCTCTCTTCTTTCTTTCACTTCCTCTTTACTGCTCTACCACATACAGTGAAATGCCCACCCTCTACCATAGAAGCAAAAGATAATGACGCTCCATTAACTTGAAAACCGGTCAGCAAAGATGCATATGCAGTAAACTTTAATTTTTCAGCAAATAGGTAAAAAAAGTGGACAAATGGTGCCAGTTTTATGCTAGAACATGTGCATCCCACTATATGCTAGGTGCCATAAGAGTGCAAAATCACAATTGGATTAAAAATACAGATTAAAAAAAGTGGACAAATGGTGCCAGTTTTATGCTAGACCATGTGCATCCCACCATATGCTAGACGCCATAAGAGTGCAAAATCACAATAGGATTAAAAATACAGATCCGAGACTAATTATAGCCACGAAAAACTTAAATAGACAATAGTTGAAAGTTGAATCCAAAAGGGAATAAATGTTGAGGTTGGAGAGTATAAAATTCAAGAAACATGACTTCTCAGCACAGCTTACGACAGGATAAACTGCAAAACTTATGACTCCAGTAATTCAAGAGAANNNNAGGATAGGAGGAGGGGGGGGGGGGGGGGGGGGGGGGGGGGGGGGGGGGGGGGAGGATTCAGTGTCTTGAAATTCTCGTTTTAAAAGTTCAGTGCTGCACTTCAGCTATAGCAAATAGTATCAACTATCGACAAGGAATTATGTCATTAAAACTAAGTTAATAATTTAAAAATTTATTTTAATAGGTTGAACTTGAATAAAAAGAAAGTTAGTAAACTAAAGATCCAATCTTCAACTATAGATCGGAAATTTCACTGATTTGCTCCTTGACAGCTTTACTGCTTGAAGGTACATTGGAATTGAAGTCGACATTTGAATTTAATTTATATCTCCCCTGTTAAATTCAAAGACTTCCCATCTGAATCATCGTATTTTTTAATAAGTCGAGGCCAATTAAACTACCCGCACGACAGTGCAGAAAAATATAACAACTAAATTTAAATACAATCAATTTAACAAATTTGTACAAAAAAATCCAAACATATGCTAAATCTCAATTTCATAAGAAACCCCGGACCTATCATTCGTATTAAATAGGTAAACAACAATCAGAAGTGATTCGTGAATATCGGTCTACATTTGGAAAAATCTGCTAAAATAGGAATTTTGGTTGAAAAAAGGGTACCTCACGGGTGGAAGAATTTGGAGAATTAGGAGGAGATTTCACGGGATCCTCGGGATCTTCATCTTCGCGGGAGCCTTGACTAAGTGGCACTGATGTTGCGTCCTTCTCCTCCGGCATTTTTTTCGATGATATTCCAAAAATTCACTCCAGAAATGGGAGGTTTAGTTGAAAATATATAGGGAAACAGGAAACGGGATTAGGTGGAGATCATATGTGAAGATGATAATGAATTATATAATGTAAAGAGAAGATTAAGGTTGAAGGGAACAAGAAGAAATAGGGATTGAAGTTTGTGATTTTCTGTGCCGGCAACGTGTGAAAAGGGCCTTTGCTTGAGTTTGAAGCGTGCAACTACTAAAGAAGAACGTACTACTCTTCACTTGCATATTTTGGTCAAAGTGAGGAACTCGGAAAGTAATGTTGGAAATTTCTCTCTCTCTCTCTCTCTCTCTCTCTCTCTCTCTCTCTCTCTCTATATATATATATATATTTCATTTTTCACCAAAATGAAATTCTTATAGATTCATTTATATGCGATGTTAGATTATGATCACCTACCGTCATACTCTAACACCACCGATGTTTATATAGCACCATTTAGATTGATGTTCAACATCAGTGATGTAAATAACATTATTAAAAAATTATAGATGTTTGAAAAAATATTAGATAGTTGGTATGACTATCTCACCTTTTTAATTATGCAATATTCAATATAATTGTTTTGACATTATTATAGTTATGTGTGTATGACTATTAAAATTTTATAATATGTATTTGCTTTAGCCTCTATTTGATACTCATTAAAAATAATTTTTTGGAAAAAATAATTTTTAGAATAGTGATTTTTTGAAAAATGTGTGATTAAAAAGTTTAAAAAATTATGAATTTATATGCAAAATATATTATTGTGAGAAAATGGTTGAAAACGAGTTTTAGAACCAAAAAAAAAAAAAAAAAAAGCTTTCGGAGAATGGTTGACAAATATGAACTTAACTTATTGTGTGTAGATTATTACAGGATAAATCTCTTTTGCTCAGCAATAATTATTAATATGTTCTCAATTATGCTTTTTTTGGAAGAAATATAATTCTATAAATACATTAATATTATCGAATAACGTAATTTTATAAGATCTAATATGTTATTATTCTTGAAGATGAGAAATTTATATAGTTTAATATCAAAATAATAATTTATTATTGCTCCTAGGGTGGCAAACGGGTCGAGTAGCTCGTCGGCTAGCCCGCTCAACTCGCGAAAACGAATCGAGCGGATCAGCCAATTTCACGAGCGGTTCATGGCTCGTCTTGAATAGTGAATCGTGACCGTTTCGATCACTGAATTTTATTTTTATTTCTATTTTTTCCATCTCCTCTTCCATGAATAGCCCCACAATTGACCCAACATTTTTCATCAACTCTCAAGTCTCATTATCTCAAGATTTTCAATCCTCTCTCTCAATCTCTCTTGTAATCTCAAGTCTCAATTGATTTGTCTCAATTCTCAATTAATCTACAATTATACAATATAGTCTTATTATATAGATTCATTTTTACAATTTAATCATCTTCAATTTTAATTTCAATTTCAATTCATTTTTACAATTTAATCATCTTCCTCTATCATCAATTAATCTATATTGTATGTTCACAATCCACAAATTGAAATGGATCCACGCTCATTTGTAGAGGGCTTGTTCGGTGTCGGAGGCGAATCACTTGCGACGCCACAAAGTCAATATCGAAATCAATTTTTATTCTCGGGATATATAGACCAATAAATCTTAACTAGCTAAAGTTGGGACTAAATTTCATTAATTTTTTAGCTTATAAGGGTAATATGTGTGGACTTTGGACTAACTCACCTTCACGTTGAAGAAGGGTGCATATATTATAGTTACATTTTGTCTATTATCCACTTGCAACTCGAAGTTTATGATTTTTGTCTCCATATAGACCACTATTTTCTTTATTGTTCTGAATGTTTTCAATTATCTAACCAATAGCCGAGTGATTTGTAAACCGTAATGAAACTGATAATTAATATGCATGTTTAGATCAAATAACGATGACCATGCATTTGGATAGACGATAAAAGACATATAGTCATATGGTATGCATGGTTGTATCTGAATATCCTAATTGTAATGGCATGTTTACAATACAGATATGGTTAATTCATTTATGACCATAATTTTTTCATCTCACTCAAGACAGACCATCATTTAGGATAGAGAATTTGATTTACGGCTTGATTGTACATTATCGAAGCTGAAGGGGAAAAAAATGAACAAGATTAACCATAGTGAAAAAACATGAGTCCTTCTACATTAATCGTATCGAATTCTTCAAAGTCAGGTTAGCTAGGAAAAAAATTTACATTCATAGTTTTTAACTTAAAAATCCATTCAAAATCCGAACATTCTAAGTTGAACTTAGTAATTCTGAATTTAATAATATATTTCTCGTGAGAATGATTGTGTTGATAACTTTATTACTTATTAATGATATCGTGCACTTCGACTATCAAAGTGTTCAACACTCTCATTGGCTTTGCACAGTTTGATCGAAATGCTTAGATGATTCAAAATTTGTGCAAAAATTAATAGTCTCGAAATGATTAAAATTATTGCACCTTTGCCTATTTGACGAGAATTCATAAATGGTTTGAAATTCTCATAAAAAGGAAGAGAAAGTGTCTGAATGGACTAGATGTTTTGGTACCTGTTACCAGTTTGACGATAATGTCTAAATATTTTCAAAATTGTGCAAAAAGGAAGATGCTGTTATAAAAGAGAGAAAAGAAGAGAATATAAGAATCAAAACTCAATTATCTCTTTTATTGAGAATTAGGACCCATATTTATATAATCCAAAATAAGAGTTACAATTGTAATGAAATAGATCTTCTAGACTATATAAAACTTATCTATATATCACGATAATACTAAATAACCATCTCATTATTTTACAACACTCCCCTTTTGATGATTATTTGTACAATGACCATCTCGTTGAAATCATGTTTGACAAAAAATTCGATGGGAAAAAATGCCAACAAATAAAAAAGAGACAAATTATTAGAAGTAATAAAATGTTGCCTTGTTAAAACGTTGTCAAGAAAATCTAGTGGGACAAAACTTGATCGAAGGAAAAATAGTACAGGTACTCCCCTTGATTTTAATTCTTGTATCAAGCTAGTCATATCTCGTATATCAATATTTTCAATATTATAATTTCTGTTGAAATATGTCTCATGTTGTCTTGCTTAGTCTTCAGATAACAACGTCTTCATACTAGATATTTTATCAACCTATAGTAACATTATGAGTCGAAAAATAGTTTTTGTTGATCTCTTCAAGAGGTTCATACATACAAGAATATACTTTTTGAGGTTAAATGTCTTGTGAGTCAAGGACATCATTGCACAAAGAATATGTCTCATTAAAATTTAATTAGGAAAAATCCCCTGAGAAAAAATCCTAATGAAGGAAAATGAATACATGTTTCTTTTGAATATGTTACAAAAATTGCCTCATTAAAAACCTTACCAGAAAACCTAATGGGACAAAACCTTGGTTGAGGGAAAAAGAGTACAACGCGTATTTACTTCTCCTCATAATAATATCACTTGAATTATGTTTCGACCATATTAAATCTTTCTATGATAGTAACAAAATTGTGTATTATCGCTTTTATTACGTGCATATCAAATTTCATGTATTGTCACACTAATGAAATAGAGATTTGTGATTACATCCACCACATGATAAATTATTTATTTATACAAGTATTTGCGATATTTATTATATAAAGAGTCATACATTTTCATATTACGACTATACTTTTCCCATTTTCATTTCGCATAAATATACACCTTTCGATATTTGGATTGTAGATCTAGAAACTGCAAGTTTCTCAAGTAAATTCAATTTAGAATTGAATCCCTTTTATTTGGCTAATCATTAATTCATCGATATATTTCGACACATTTATTTTTTGATTTCTCGCTACATGATGTAGTGCGTCATGTGTAAAATTATTTTTGACAATTTGTTCTTTCTTGTTCAATTCTATTTGTTTTCCCATAATTACACAATTTATTGAGATGCATCATTTTTCAACATATTAGGTACCGAGCCTCTTCTGGGGTTTTATAATTTTTTATGTCTAAGTTATCATCAATAGTATATATCTTTTTAATTTGGAACATTTTTACTAATTACTTCATCTTTGTTCGAAGATTTTTTGTATAGAATCGAACACCACCACACTTCAAGCGTGTTACAAATATACCGAATATAATGCTAATAAATTGTCCTCCTAAGACATCAATTAGTGTTGGAGTATTTAAAATTGGTGCGTGAGATATTATTTGTCTCTTTGATCAATAAATATATCTAAATAAAATATATTTCGAACTTTTGGTTCGAGTGATCTTTTGTGAATTTATATGATGATGCATTTATACATTATTTTCAACTTCTTAATCCCTCCTCCTCAATGTTGAAATAATTGTCCAATCAAATCCTATTTGGAATAAGAGTTTAAACTACGTATTTATTTTCAACATTCTTTATTTTTCATCTTATTGCAATGTGGTAGATTAATTGTACTTTCAAATAATTTGATAAAGAAATTAAACTCTAATCATAAGCCAATTATAACGGAATGAACTATAATATTGGCATGATGCATAATAGCATTCCCACAAACTCCGAAAATCATGCTCATAATTTAAAATTTGACCAGTTTTGCAAACTCCAGGTTGCGAATACCATGCAATCATCTAGTACATATATCAAATCTATTATATACGAATAATATTTGATGGTTAACATGGGGATGATAGGGCCTCATTTATCATTCTAATTAATTTTTGGAAATATAGGGAATTCAGTCCCTATTTTAGTTAATAATGGTTAATGAAAAATTTTCGATAAAAAGAACAAACATCATATAAGATTTTATTGGATTGAAGAATCTTCTGATTCTTCATTTAATATCCATTTGAATTCTTTAACTTCACATCACTATTGATTCAGTGATGATCCAACTGGTTATGTCAATCAAATTGAACTTCTGATTCAATATAAAATATAATTCAACTATTTAATTTCGAAGAATATGATTAAAGCTTATATAACAATATATAATTCAAATAATCAAACTAATCAATGTCATCATGACATTAATTATATGTTTTCTTCCAGAAGAAAACATGAATTCAAAATGATATATTTTTCGAAGGAGGGCCACTTTGAGAGGATATTATTTTTAATTATTGTTTCTTCAAGAGCACGTATTTTATCATCGGTTCTTTAAGAGCAATATTAATATTCCTCGGAAATATTGGAATCATATTGACATGTTCTTTAAGAGTAATAACATATAAC